GAAAAAAAATTTCTTTCACAAGTAAATTCAAATTAGTACGAATATCAACAAAGAGAACAGAAATGATTGCAAAGACAACTCAATATTGTCTCTTTTTTTTTTTTTACAAATATGCATAATCAGTGTATTAATTTTTTCAATTTCATAAGTTCATTTTGAGTAGTGACTGGAAATAATATAATAGAAGACATACTTTTAACGAGTGTCCAATAGAATTATAAAAAGCTTATGTAAATCGCTTGAACAGATAAGCATATATTTAAATATATTTTCTCTTTCAGATTTTTGCAATGCCCTTTACATATGTGAACGAATTATTCTTCGAAATTAAATAGTTTACAAATTAAGACAGTTGACTAAAAGAAATCCTTATAATTAATATCAGCATCAAACTACGAACAACAACTTTTTCAAAATTCTAAGCCATTCAAAGTCATATCAAGATCCATCATACAAAAAGCCTTACTTAATATGTTATTACCTATCCATGGTAAGTATGTCCCAGTTCAACTGGGCAATGAACCAGCTGAACATCCACCCCACTGAGTACCGTTCTAGCTAACTATCAATCCGACAGATGACTTGTTTGACTGACCATTAGCATTTCTGGACACCAGTTCGATGCAATATTACTAAATATTTAATCCATATGTATCTACTTTGCCAATTTCATCATTCAACAAAGATAAACAAAAATATTAATGATAATAATAATAATTTTTTTTTTACTTTATTCCTTTTTTTTCCGTTGATGATAGAAATCCAAAAAGACATAGATAACAAAAAAAAATAACAACAACTAGAACAACAACAATAATAATAAGAATACGAACCGAGAAGAAAACTGACTAAAGACGTGAATAGATGGATGAAAAAAAACATTTATCGTCACATCAACGCAAGTTTTCTATTGACCATCAGATTTGATATGAAGAAGATTTTTTTTTTCGGTTTTTCTTAAAATAATCAAATGACTACATTCTATGAATAGGTGAAGAGGAAGAAGAAGAAGAAGAAAAAGAAAAAGAAAGGTGCACAACAAAGACAAGAAAAAAAAAGATGTCATCATTTTAAAAAGTGTCCACTCGTTTTACTGTTTTTCTTTTAAATTAACTTCACTAATAATTGAAACTCCACCACTAGTTCCATGTGATTTATTCCAATCAGTAACACATAATGTACCATTTGATAAAAATGTTAGTGAATATGGTTCTTGAATTGATTTACATTTATATTCTTCAATTTTAGAATCTTTATCAATTGAAACCAAACGATGATTTAATTTATCAGGTATTAAACATTTTTTTGCATCATCAACATAAATTGAATATGATTGTAATGATTGAGGAATATTATATGTTGATTTTTTTGCCGCACTTGTATTATCATATTCATCAAGATGACATTTATCTTGACGATGAGTTAAAACATATGATGTATCATTTGGTAAGAAATATGCAGCATATGGATAAACTTTTTGATAAAGTTGTGGTTGATTTTGAAGTAAATGATCTTGAGTTGAATCATGAAATGACCATACACCTATTTCAGCAAGATTATTATCAAGGAAGACAATACGTTCACCGGATGGATCGCAGGCTAAAATAAAAGAATATTATATTTGAAAAATTATTCTTTATAGATGAAGACTATTAAATTTTTAAAGTATTCCGATTAAATAAAATACAAGCATTAGTAAAACAGATTCGAAAATGATAGAACGCTGCGTATTTAAAAGAAAAGAAAGATTCTTTTTCTTCAGATTAAACTACAACCGAAGTCATGACTTATTCATTCGTTGAGATAAACTATTTTTAATTATAAAATCATTGTATTCAACAAAGGAAACCGATCCGACCGTGTGTTAAGTGGCAATATAAGATGCAGGAATGTAAATCGATATTCGAACAATGACGAGACGATACACTATAGACATCATTTATATTTTTATTGTCATTTAAGGCAAACTTCAAAAATAGAGCGTTTCGTGTATGAATACTGAGAGCAGAAAAGAGACATCAAGTCTCACGTTTCCATTCCTATACGTGATATGCTTTTGATGAAACTGTCAGTTAAAGTAAAATTTTATATGACTAAAGAACTCTAATAGAATTCAAGCCCACCGATATTTCTTTTGGAGCTGTCATGATTACAATCCTTTTAATATTCTAAAACTTTCCTCCAAATGAAAATCTATTTTCTCAAATATCGCAATAAACCAATTCTATCTTCCAAGAGACGTCTTAAAATTGACTTTTTCAGGATATTCTTAAAGTTTAAAACCTTTTTCCTTTATTATTCAATGTCTTTTAATAGATTAGAATCTCGATAAACTAATGATGATTAACGGGAAAAAACACATAAAACTTCACAGATGTGACATGTGCTGATCTATTATAAATTAGATGTATGACTATTTTTGACTTATTCGGCAAAATGTTTAGATTTGCATTAGAGATGCTGACAGGTTCACCTGTGGCCCATGAGTACAGATTGGACCTCTGACGGGTCGCAAACTAGGTATTTTCACGACTTACGGGTTGCACAGGTCGGATTTTATTTTTATACGTACCTGCGCGTCCAACCAGCTGACAAATTCTGCTTTTCATTCTTTCGTTCTAGTTCTTCACTTACTTACTAGGATATATGTACACATATAAATGCGCTTTGGGTGTGGATCTTCTCTCAAACGTACCGAACGACATACCCAGACTCATACAAAAGCCAAGTTTAATAAATGATATGCTATTAGAATCATTCGATGTATAAAATGGGAAATGAAGAATGTTTAATCTAGTTATTTCTCGATTTTTTGCACATTTATCGCCATGATTATTCTAGCCGAAGTTGTATCTGCTGCATTAATACTTTATATATGAACATATACTGTAACTGTGTTTTTTACTATTCGTGGTCTTGAAGGTTAATTGATATGTTCAAACGTTTATGTATACAGAGTGACCCAAAAGTAAGGGAACATATATATGATCAGTTAGGTCTCATATATACTAGTCAAAAATATAGTATACGATCAGTCATTGTATGCAATAGTTTATTTAAAAGAGTGCAAATAAATCTTAATACTCGTTTGTTACTCTATGAAAAATCCGATTTCTATAGGTTTGTATGCTTATCTCGACCTATGATATACATCCGATTTAATTAATTGTGACTTCTTTTAGGTTAAATCAGAATAAAATATAATTTAATCGAATTTATGTCACAGACTGGGATAGGCGGATAAAACTATGGAAATCGAGTTTCTTTTACAGAACAGACGAGCGGTAAGATTTATATTGTCCGCTTTTAGAACAAATTACTACACTCAAAGATTGATCATCTATTACATTTTTTATTAGTGTATGTGGCACAAATATGAGGCCTAACTGATCATGTACAAAGAAGAAACAAAAAAACTCTATGTTCCCTTACTTTTGTGCCCCCTTGTATGTTCAGAAATAAAATATTCTAACTATAAAAGCCTTAATTTCACAAATAATAAAAAAATGGGTCAATTAAAAAACTAACGTTTTAGTAATTAAATATTGTACTAACAAAATTTGTTATAACCTGCGGGCTACCTAGTGTCGGGTTAATGACTCTTCAATCCATGAAGTAGCTTGCGGATCGAATCATAAAAATAGTCATTAATATCTCTGATTTGCATACCATCTCATATGATGTAACTATATTAATTTAGATTTGACTTATGTTAGCTAATTATGATTAATCATAGCTGGTCATGTTTTCTGTAGATTATCGAATAATTTTCAAGAACTTTCATAAAATGAATCTTGATTATTTCTAATGTTAATAAATATTATTTTTATTTTTTAATATTGACATTTTGTTTCTTTTTTATATACCTGCATAAACCTGTCGTTCTTCAACGTATTGAATATTCCATGGATAAAATCCTCGAATTTTACTTCTTGTAACAACTTTATTTGTATTTAAATCTAAAATAGCTGCCTCTTTTCTTGTTGCAACAACAGCTTGTGATGTTGATGCTGATGAGTTATAAATAACAGCTTTTGGTGTTGGTAAATCTTTAAATATTTGATGAACAACACCTTTAATATCAATAAGTAAAACAGAATCACGATCAAAATTTGCTACTAATAAACGATCATCAGATAAAGCACATATACCAGTTGGTGCACCAAATTTGCCATTTTCACGATCAAAACTACATGAAAGTTCAGATAAAAAATAATCATATTTATATTTATTTAAATCATAAATTAATTCTGTTTTGATTTTTATTTCTGAATCATCTTTTGTTGTTGTTGTTTTTGTCTTTGTTGCTTCAGATGCTGGTGTAAATGGAGGAGCATCAGACTAAAACAAACAAACAAACAAATAAACAAACAAACAAACAAAAATTAAGAAATAAAATTTTATTTTTTTTCTAATTAACTTACTCGCATAGTTACTTTTGGTGTTACATTTAATGTTTGAAGTTGATCAGTTACTTGTTCAACATTCTAATCGATAAAAAGTTATTGATGAGAAAAGAAAAAAACAAAAATTACAGTTGATGGTTGAAATGAACTTTGTATTTGTCTTTGTGTATAACCATCATCAGAACTTAATTGTTGTTTTGAATTTTCTGTTGATGATGCATTTTGATTGTTAGATAATTGACTCTCAGCAATTGTATTCGACATGGTATGTTATTGCGAATATAGACCTAGGAATCACAAGGATAGAAAAATGATGAATTTAATGGATGATAATGTTTTACAAATAGCGACTACAGTGACCTCAATCATATTAATTTTGAGAATTTCTATTGTAGTTATGTAAAAATAAATCTTTAAGTAATTATTTTAAATTTTATTTTGTTTTCGAGAAAAGTTTTTATCTAATTAATTAATTGAATTTTCCAATTGGTTATAAATGTAACAAATCAAGATTAGAGTTCTATTTTTTTCTTTTTTCTTCTTTCAAATTATCAAGTCTAGTCTCTTTTTCTTTCCTTCAAAAGACAAGTCAAAATGTTTCCTAAAGCAGCTCCAACTGAACCAACGCGAACAACTATTCCATCAGCAGCTCCCGTTTCAAATTGGAGTGTAGCTTTATATCGAAAAGCTGAACCTATTCTACCATTAAATCCTTCAGACGTATCTCAAACACCAGCTCCACAACAAACAAATGGTTCATTTTATGTTCAACTTCAACAACAAGCGACTTCATCATCACCAAGTCGTTCCGATGTACTTTATTTTCGATATCAAGCACAACAACAAAAAAATAGTGCGAATTCATATACACTCCCATTTACTATAAGTCAGTTGAGTAATATGAATTTATTGCCTGATACAGCAGTAATTTCATCAACATCACCAAGATTTTCTGGTTTAGAACAACAATCAGGTGAGAAGTTCAGGTTAAAAGTCAATCAAACCGAGAAGAATTTATTTTATATTTCAACAGAACGCAAGAGCAGAGACGTCACCTAAAGTTACCAACATGAGGGACGAAGTAATCTTCAGGATAAGAGGTCATATTTGCAAAAAGCTCAAGCTATCTAATATACGCTTTAATAACTAAACACATGGTAAAGGTTATCCGATTTCTGAAACGTTTTAATTGAAAAAAAAATCATTCTGGTGATAAGCGAAAGAGATTGTCTTTCAATAAGATTTTGCCGTGGGGTATTATTACTTCTTTTTTTATAAACAATTCATCTCGAAGAAAAATGTAATGAATCAATTTATTTTAAAAGGTTTGAATGATTCATCAGACAATCCACCAACGTTACTTCTTCGTGCAAAAGCTTTTCTTGGTGTTTTGGTATTAAACAGTTCAGCAAACAGTATTACTGCAAATAGTTCGTATTAAAATTGTCAATTATTTTCGTTTTTCAAAAAAGCTGAAATATATTAATGTGTTTTAGCTGCTGGTATTATTCGACCATTTATGATATTTGTAACTGAAGAAGTATTTATTGGACAAATATTTGATGCATATATTTTTCGTATGAAGATAAACAAAAAAATAAGAAAGAATATATTTTTTTCTATTATGTTTTCCTTGTTATTTAAAGGTATTTCACAAGTAGCAACTATTTCCTTGCGGGATAATCCAGAAGATGAAATTTTCGTATCTGGAATAAAGTAAAACGAAAAGAAAAATTTCATTTCAATTGATTGATTATTTCATTCTGTTTTTGAATATTCAGAAAATTATTTCAAGGACGTTGTTTTTATTATGCAACATTTTTCAATCCAGAATTGAATAATAATAAACGTTATTTTAATAAGCCATATGATATAACATTATGTGCTCAAAGAATGGTTCAAGGGCAGGATTCAGATATTCGATTTTTTTGGTTTGTTTTTATTTGAATAGAGGAGAGAAGAGGATAAGAGGTCGTATCACTCTACTAGTACTTTTTTTTGACCAATTTCATTGAATCATTATATCAACAGAAAGAATATGCTTAAATTCATGTTCTGACACTAGTTTTATGAGGTTTTGATAAAATTTCGAAATCTAAAACCTATGAACAAAGTAACATATTTTTCGCCATTATTCTCATAATTTATCATATCATGAAGAGTTCAATTTGAGAATAAGCAAATGAGACAAGATACTACTGAAGATATGAATTTCATAGCTCTTTGATGAGAGGTTCAATTCCATATATAACATGACCAATTGATTGTTTAAATTAACGAGATTTATATAATGTTTATCGTTTGCATCTTCCACTCTTACCTTTCAATGTATTTTTTAATTTAATAAAGACAATGACCGAAATTCTTGTATTGATTATTTGATAGTCCTTTTGAAAGGTTACAAAATCATTTATTTTCNTACAAGAAAATCAAGGGTAGTTGTAATAAGTGTGTTTTCTTTTTAATTTTATAATTTTAGTTTTCAAATTAGTCGAAAAAAAATGATTCAAAATGATTTAAAAAAGTATGGACCTCTTCGTTTATTTAGTTCAAGTGAGAAAATATTTAATAATAATCATGTATTACCAAGTAATTTTTTATTTACTTTAGATCAGCCTGATACACAACGAATTCTAAATTTAGAAGATGCTAAAAGCAAGATAACTATATATCAATTAAAGAAATCTCAATTTATTTTTACTATTGCTGAAAGACACCCGAATGTTTTTCTTCCTATTCCAATGCCTCATACGTCCGTTGAGTCTGAAATAATGATTGATACAGGAAATGATGGGCGAGGTTAGTTTTGACTTAAACAAAAGCTTTCCGAAAAAATTACTTTGTTCTTTTCTTTGTGAAGATTTATCAATGAACTCTTTAAGGGGTAAATCGAATAACCCGATTAAATGTATACCACAAAAAGGAGATTGGCAAGGTGGTGATGAAATAGTAATTATAATGTCCAAGCCAATCAAACGAAAAGGTTTATAGAATTAAAGCTTAGTAAAATCATATTAAATTTATTTTTATTTATTTTTTTCCGTAAGTCTGTAGTATTTGTTTCGATTTTGGTCTACTTGGAAGACACGCTGTTCAGGAAATAACACATATTGATACAAAAATAATTCTATTTCAAACACCATCATATCCAATACCACCAGGAGATGAAAACATTAAAGTATCAGTTGATATTATAGAAAATAATTTACTTTTATCTTCAATTGATTTTTATTATATGACACGTATGTAATGGAAATAAAGAAAAAAGAAAATCAATCAATATATTTTGTCATTTGTTTATTTTAGCAATAAAAACAACAATCAATCTATGTACATATTGTCACAGTAATATGAACGTTAACCATACAAGTAATAAAAGAACCCGTACATATGCTGAACATTTTGAAAATGATAGTGGAGAAAGTCTTGTTTCACAAATGCAACACTTATCAATAAAAAAGGTTAGTTTATTTTCTAGCTGAACTTTTCATTAGAGCCGTGCAGAGTGAACTTTTTTCGACTTCGATTCTGGGAAAACAAATTTTCAAAACTCCGATTCCGAATAGTTTTTTTTCACTAGTGAATACGGTGACTCCAAAAAATTGATCAGATAAGTTGAATATCTATTGTTTTTTCTTAATAATAACTCACATAAAGAATAAATATAGTGATTTGAATAGAGAAAATTGTTTCCAACGAAAATTCGAGGAAAATAAGATCTTCACAATATTCATGAAATATACGATCTCTAGAAAACCTCAAATCTAGGCTTTTAGTCTCCAAAATCTGAACATAAAAGTTTCGTTTGTTTTCATGGGGTGGCATTGCAATTCTCTACAAAATGAAATATCTTCGAGCTCTGTACGAAATCTTTTGACGAAATCTAATAAATTTTAAGAGAAGTTCAAAAGTTCTTTTTGTCCAATTTTCGCCTTAGAAAATTGGTAGAAAAGTTATTTTAGGGCGTTTTTCAATTTTGATCTGAATTTCATCACAAAATGACGTGCAGACCTCCAAGTTGTCTTATTTTGTAGAGAATCAGTTGCTCAATTGTTCTGTGCAATCAAAAAAAACTTTTTTTATGGGTCTTGTGTGCTGAAAAGGTAGGTTTGCGGTTTTAAAGAGTGTTCCATAAGTGCTGGATCTCAACAAGAGTTATATGTATATGTAAACAAAGAATGGTCCTTTGTCAACTGTATGTGTATGAACTTCAAGTACTTAGGACGATGTTTTAAATGGTATATATTATATCTGATGACATTTTTTTCTTTTAATTACAGTAATATTAACAGAATAAAGGTGATAATTAGATTGTGGGTACAGGAGAGAGCGACATTCACATCCTAAATACTACATAGCGCTTTGGATAATTCTGTTACATTACATAAAATGAATTCATAGTTCATTAAAACTTCTTCAAAAGATTCTGGTCGACTTCGGGATTTCAATTATCACTGTTCTTCTGTTTATATGACTATTATTAAAAAAGATAAAGTCTTCGAAGGATATGCCATCTAAAACATCATCCCAAGCACTCGAAGCCATATACATATAGTTGTGTAGGGATCACTCTTTGTTTACACATAAACTAATTTTCATTATAGCTAATAACTTATGAGATATTATTTATAGAGATCCTAGATGTTGGATGTACTGTGAAGATTTTATTTCTTCTAAAATCCTTATTGGAAACAATGTTATCTATTCAAATAGCTATTTAGATTCTTTATGTGAGTTATTATTGCGAGCAAATATCAAAAATTAAATCTGTACAATCAATTTTTGAAGTCACTATATACATCTTTTCCTACTATTTGTTGATGAGAATTTCTCTTTGCTTGTTTCTTTTTTGCAACTCATTTATGAATCTGTAAAGCAGCGTATTTTTGTTAAAAACTTAACATATGAAGTATAACTTTGTTATTATATGTAAGAGCAAAAAACATAGTTGACTACTTTAATGATGTAACTTCGAGATTCACTCGGAAGAAATTCTTCACAATCACTTCGACTTCGACGAGTTTCGGAGTCCGACGCAGGGCTTGACTTTTCATCTTCTACGGTTATTATAGGAAACAAAGCCATCTCATATTCAAGCTTCATCAGATGGTATATCAATTGATGGACAATATCTATTTGTATATATATGATCTTTTTTTTTCTTTAGAAAAAACTGAAAAACTTGATAAATATCTGAATCAGCTAAAAGTTGCTTTAGGTAAATTTATTCGTACGAATGATCCTTCTCGATTGTTCCGTCGAACACGTATTTTATTATCTCAATGTGATGAAAATCCACCTCTATTAAATGATGCTATTCAACGTGGACATACACAAATAGCATTAGCACTTATTGAACAAGTTCTTGATATGAGTTCATCACAAGGATTATTAGAAAAAGAAAATGAAAATGGTGAAACACCATTATTAATTGCAGCTAAATGTAATCAATGGAAATTAATTGAACCTATTATCAAAAATCGATCTGATCTTGTTAAACACAAAGATAAAAATGGAAATAATTTATTACATTTACTTGCAAATTTACATGATGATGAAGGTGCAGAAGTGATTAAAAGTATTTTTAAAATCTTACCTAATGAAATAAAAACAAATCTGTTGACGGAAAAAAATAAAAATAATCAACGACCAATTGATATTGCACAATCTCATGGCAATCCTTTTTCTTGTGAGCTTTTAATTGAAAGTGAACAATAATTTTTAATAAATTACTTTATTAATCTGGATTTTACTCTCTATTTATAAGAATTAGCATGTCTAAAGTTGATTTAAATTTGCGTATATTTTTTCAATGTCTAATCATATTCATAGTGTAATACTACTGATTCATTAAAACATAATTATCAGTCCTAGTGTGTAGAATTGACCAACATACAGTATTACGTGTGGGTTAATATTTTCTCTAAAATCAACATTTATCTAGTCAATTAATAGTTTTATTTAAAATCCGAGTGAATAAATATGTAATGCCATTCATTTCCATGTGATGGCAATCTTACTCTTGAATAACGGCGAATGAAGAATATTTATTAAAAGTTAAAATAAAGTTCAAAGTGTCTATTTTGCAGATTTGGTGTATAACGCAAAAAACTGTCGAAACCGAATGATCAACCTTATGATGATGTCATCAATGATATAGAATTGCAGAAAAAGTTTCATTTGTGTTATAGTACTATTGATGGATACGAAATATGTTATCATTATTAAATCGATGAATATTCCCACTGGTGGCAAGTTTATAAGAAATTTAGCATTTGAAAATTTCGCTGAATAACTATTTTTCTTTATAGATTTCAATGCATATTTTCCATAATACGAAAAAGTTTATTGTCTTAATTTTTTTATCATTGTCTATTTAGCAGAAACATCCTATTTCCTTTTTGTGGAATTCACATATGTCTTCAAAGAGAGTAGTGTGCATAAGTTTAAATCGAGACTGTTGTGTCTTTTTCTAGGACCTATCAATTGGAAGTGGGAGAAAAAAGTCAATAATTATTGGATATGTCTTCCTCACAACGGAAAACAGCGCGTTAGTAAATGAATCTACGATTTCTACTGTAGATTCTAACTAGTCCAAATATTGCGAGTTTTGATATTTAATGCAGCGATAGGATGTTATCGTAAGTGATATTATTGGTCTAGTAAAGTCAGAATATGACAGTCGTAGAAAAGTATGAACTAATTGAATTCTAAGTTTAGACAAAAATCGACAGTACTGCCAAAGTTTGTCGATAGCAAAGATAGTGTTCTCGGATGCTTACTCAACGATTAAATCAACATGTAGAGCAGGCTATATTATGATGGTTGAAACGAAGAATAAAATGATATTTGCTTCTTCCTATGGCATATATCGTATATATTATCCTTAGGAGAAAAGAAGTTATATGTTGAAAATGTATCTGATAATGCAAATTAGTATTGGTTTTATTTACAATGATGTTATAAATGAATCTTATAAATTGATAGAAGAAGAATTCTAAATGCAAATATTTTCGAAATGATAAAACTGCAGAGAGCACCTACCAACTATAAAAATGTTTATAAATTTGATTTATTTATTTATTTGATATTATTTTTTAATAAATTATTTTAACCTCTCTGACAATCTACCATAAATTTATAACAGTCAAAATCTGTGAGTTCAACACTGTGATTCCTCACGAAGCAGCACTGACAAGTTTTTTAATGACTAACATTTTTCACAATTGATAAATCATAAACTTGTAGAGATTGTTTTTTTTAACAATGCAGAAGAATCTAATAAGGCACGAAATCTTAAAACATTTTTATGCAATTAATTTCTACTAAAACCAATTGAATAAATGGAAAGAAGCAATTTAAAAGAATTGCATAGAGACAAACATCATAACAAAAAATATTGCATAGTTATTAATGACAAAGTATATAGTTATCTTCTTATCTAACGTAAACTTTATAGATAACTGAATAGTGCAAAGGATAAATGATGTGTCGAAAAATAAAAACGAATTTCATCAAAGAAAATAAAAGGAACAATGAAAACCGAAAAGATATAGAGTAAAGAATTAGAATAATTTTTGATAATGACTTGTAATTAATACAGACTATATGTAATAAAAATCAACATGGCTCAATAATAGTAAAATATGACGAAATCTTTATAGTATGGTTTATTCACTACTTCTGAAATACATTCTCCTAATAAATTACAAATAAGTATTTATTGACTAAATCTCTATTTACTAATGCTCAGGTCAAATTGACCAAAAACAAAAAAAGAAAAGGAAATTGTCTGTACGATTTGATATGAACATCTAATGCTCATTGACTTGCATAAATAAATTATTATCAAACATTTGTTTATGTCAATAATTAAGAAAAACAAATTGAATCGACAAAATCTATTTGTTCGTAAATTCTTCATTGTTGAACAATAAAAATGACATAATAATCTCATTTCATATTACGATCAATATGCTTCGAGAAATATACATTACATATACATATGTGCGTGTCTTTTATTAGTTCTATTACAAAAATGAAACACTATCACGATTGCGTGCAGCTGGAGAATAAAAAAGAAGTTTGATTAACAGAAAACATATTGAAGCTGGAAAAAGCCAGCTGTATCCCGTTATCATTTTTTTCCTCTGTTTAAGTATCTTCCCTTGGCATCAGTCAGTCTTTTACTGTTCGAATAGTAAGGACAAAAAGTAAATGTACATACTATTATATTTTTCTTAACAGTATATCAATAGGAATGTCATCAGATTCAATGAATAAAAGTTTCTTAACAAAAAATTTTGTTAGTAAATAACTAGCCATTTCTTCTAGTTAATATTATTCTTCAATCTTTTTAGAAGATAAAATAAATCATTCAAACGTGATCGTCATCAATAAAATTGAAGACATACTTGATGAAATCGACAGTTCGTTGTGATTAAAATTTAATTTTATATTATTTTTAAAGACTTTGATGAAGCTCCTTCGCAATAAGTTCACAAAAATTAACGTGATTTAATTGATTACGGTGAGATATAATGAATAATGTATCAATTTGGATACGTAAAATATATACAACTAAATCAAATGATATTAATAAATTTATATTTTGTCATCTATATTTGATATGGCTTAACGATGAGCATGGTGAAGTTCATAATGTTTAATTATTTATTCCAACAGGTAAATTAATTATTAAGTAGATATTTCTAGAAATAAGAAAACAGAAAATTAGAAATTTATTTTTGGAATTGAAAAATTATTTATGTAACGATTAAAAAAATGATATATTAGGGAAAATGAAATAATTTACGATGTATACATCAACAGAACTTGATTTTATTCGTATGTAAAAACAAGATGAAATCTTCTTGTGCTAGTTTTTTTTGTTGAATTGAAGAGCTTTATTTCATAAATAAGGATACTGGAAAAAATACAAGAAATCAATATAAACTTTTATATTTAATTTTACATTTTTGAATTATTCTAATTGATGAATATAATAAAGTATATACTACAGATTTAGAATGTCAAATAAAACCAATCTGTGAATATGAACGTAAATTTTAAACTAATAATTCGAATATAAATTTGTTTTTTTTCTTTATCTTCAGTCAATGAATTGAAAAATTTCTTACGAACTGTTGACAATTTTCATAAATATTCATATGAATATGGACAAATTGAACAAAAAAAGAAAATTGAAGTGACTAGTTTTAGCTTTCAAATAGACTTAATAATATAAATCTGTTAGTGATTATTTCTTTTAGTTAAGAGAAATTAGAAAAAAGACTAAAAAAAGAAAAACATAATTATGATTGATGGGCTTTATCTGTTAGTTTCAGTACATTAACTTTGGTTGAAAATTAATAATATACTTACCAATAAATAATTCATTTATTATTTAAATATTATCTTAATTCATATTGACTTTTATTTATTGTTCGTTTTATAAAAACATATAAATCAAATATAAAAAACTTATTGAATTCGAGAAAGATGAAATTTAGTTTTTAATGATTGCTTCTTAGATTGTTATATCTCAAGCCAGTCATAAGTATGATTATGTGTATTTATGATAGAGAACTATTAACCATCAATGAGATGGAAGAAAGGTAACAAAATGTGTTTTTTTATTTGATTTTCGATCAAGAAGGAAAAAAGAAAAACTCCGTATATCACTGTACTTCAGCGTAATTCAAGCGTATGTCAAAGCTATATCCTCTAGAACTGTTTAGCTATTTCAAGTCTAATCTCAACATGTGTTACGAGCATATTAGTTTGAGTAGCAATAAATGTCAAGTACTTTATCGTAACTCAAGATTTGAATAGAATTGAAGTACGACGAAATATTTGAGGTTTTTTGCCACACAGGCTTCTATAAAATGAACTCAGACTATTATACTCACAGCACGTGTTGATGCTTGACTTGACATAGAATTTCTAAATAAGAACTTTGACATACCCTTGGAGTATGCTGAGGTACAGACAAGTACGGAATCTTCATTTTTCCTCCATTGTTTGTGATTTATTATATCATGCACTTTGAAACTCCAAGATACCTTTTAGTAATATATAGCAAACTGTAAACTAAAAGTCTGACGAATTTGACCAATAATGAACTCTGGGTAACATTTCTATATTATAAGTAACAAATGTTTTGACATCATCGATAACTCATTTTTTAAAGGGGATATATGAGTCTTCAAAGCTGAAAACAGCTTCGATACTGAATTATATAAAGTATATTTACTAGAAGATCAGTCTTTAACAGAATTTTTAAACAAGTTCGAGAATCAAATAAAGTCATTTTCTTATGCTATAAAAGTACCTTATTCTTTAGGTACAAATCTCTCGAATTTTACTATCAAAATTTCGACAATATTATCAAAACTCGCGTAGGATATCAAACATGTTTGTGGTTCGAACAAAATTTAGACTTTCACAAATTACCAATCTACATTCTATATTGCTATATTCATACCAGTTTCTTTCTTTTTCTTTGCATTTCACAAGATCAACTTGTAGAGATTCTGTAGATCATATCCGACTGTGCACAATGTATCAATAGGAGCGAAGTCAGGGTTTTGACTAGGAAGGACCATAATAAGCCTAAATATGTTGAAGTTATTCTTGATATATCTCAACCAATAGTTAAGCTGTTTTTTTGCGAGTCTAGAAAAATAATTTGATTTTTCTGTAATCTATTTCTAAGTATTTATCTCAAAGAACGTCAGCTATAAATACAAGCTCACCTTTTTTTTCATGTAAGAAACACAAAAACAAGCATTTACCTAGCATTAGTTTGAGTTAAAAGAAAGACCTGTTTGTTACATAGATGGTCACAGAATGAGAGGAAAAATCTAATTTTAGTTCTCTTCTATTGCGCAGGATAAATAAGATACTTTTTCGATTTTTTTGTCAACAAAGCACGTCATAAATTATCAATCATTTTACAGTTATTTTATGCAATTTTGTATCATATAACGCAGCCATATTTTTGAATGCTGGTTGACTCAATAATAATATAATAGAGAGTAAAAATAGACTAGGCTAATATTTCAATAGCAAGATATCCGACAAAAAACTGTAGAAGCAAAGGATGTCATTAGTATATAGTACATCGAAAAACTTTCCTTCCGAAAATACGTAATGTCGCATCTGTCTCTTATTAATTGAAGTTTATCAACGCATATTTTTTAGATGATAACTATCGGTCATAAATTTTTAAACAAATTTCAAAACTGCTAGATAGACAAATCACTGTTGAATACAATAGAAAAATGTCGACTTTTTCTAAATGTTCAAAATTATCATGTTAATATATCAAAAGAAAAGTTCGTGAAACAATATTACAGGATACGGAAGATTTAAAGATTATAAAATACATGAAACTTAAACTATTCGAAAAAGGAAATCTTGTGTAATGGTTTTTGGAAATATAAAATTAGCAAAATTTCTGTGCTTCGGTCAACAATAATATGTCTAAATAGTATCTTTTTGTAGTTGTTCATGTAAATAAAAAATTGACATGAATACTTATATTAAAGAAAAGAACTAGCGAAAACAGTTTCATTAATAGTATATTTGTATTAAATTACTGCATGGGAGATACATTTGGTACATCCTATGTTGTACTTCTAACTGATATGATTCCCAATAAAAACAACTCCTTTTAATGATTAGATGATTCATTGTATGAAATTAATCAGTTCACAGTGGATTTATTTCATTTTGAAACAATTAAATCTTTATATTCATACATCTTTCAATAATCCATAGAAATAAAACAATGTGTCGTAAACGTTTTGATAGTACATACCTTACATATGTGGTAGAAAAAGATAACATGCAGAATCTTACTGACTGCAGAAAAACTATTCTTATTCTGCCATCATAATGTGTTCTGTTAAATGACAGAATAGATCACCAGTGTCGTCTCGTTTGATGTTCAGCTCTGAAGCAAGTTTCAGATTATTTTCACTAAAAGTCTCACACCATGAAAATTTATGACAGGTACTCAGGCGTCTTCCTGACCACATCCCTCCCATGATAGTATTCAAAAACATATTTTGAATTTTACTGCTGTAATTGAATGGAACTAGAGCTGTTGTTACTAGTCTATGAGATTCATCGAGTCTCATAGTGTTACATTTGTAGACACTGAACTTTCATGGAAATTCATGCAGTTCTGCTATGCTCTTCAAAACATGTTATCACACTGATATTGTTAAAACACCTGTCGCGCCATTATGGGTATCTCTGATATAGTATTTAGATAACTTTACATACGAAGTAAAGAATTTTGTTATTCTATCTCATTCTTCGGTATGTCTTACGATTTCTATGAAACAAAATCCATTGTCCGTCATACAAAATCGTTTATCATAGTGTATATGTCACTTTTATATTTCAAAAAAGGATTTATATATAAAAAAAATGATGTTGGAGTCAAATATTAGTCGTTTATATGGCTCAGTTTTCTCCAAAAAATTCTACAGGTGGACTTTAAGTGACTGGCTTTGTAATTTTTCTTTCGTCTCTTGTTTTTAAACAGTCAGAACTCCAAAAAGCAGCAGAAAAGAAAAATCAACAACAGCAAGAAAGAAGGCAGGGTTTCTTAGTCGAAAAACAAATTTATCGAACTAAACTGCATATTCAAGTGAATATTCTCTTGCCATAGAACAAAATTTGACAAGATCAAGTTTCTAAAGTATTACAAGCACGAGTTTGTCTATGGTAAAAGTGATCTCAGATTTTTATGAAAAACCCCATAATATAGAAACCAGTAGAAATAGATTGAATTATATATAATGAATGATTTAAGTAAAAAAAAAAGAAAGGATTTCTCATGACTAATTATATGACAGATCAATGTCATTTTTGATAATAATCAGAAAAAACTGTGAATCCACTTTGGAAATTATTGGTATTTTTTCTGTCTTAAAATGTGTAGTCAATTATGTGCATTTTCTGATCTTCAAAACACATAAAACAATAATTATCTTTAAAAAAAGAATATCAGCCTATTCTAATGGATATTATTATGCAAGAATTATGAATGGCGTAAAAAAGAAAATCTAATTTCATGTCTTCAAACAATAAAATTTTTCTTATTGCGACGAAAACCATGCTTGTTTTTATCGCAGTTACCTGTAAGTAGAGACTGCGACAGTTGCTTTTCTTCCCCTCATAATTTTGTTTGCGCACTGACAGCATAAAATCAACTACGACTAAAGGATTTTTCAGAAATACTTGTGTTGTATTTTTATATTTATATACTCAATTAAAGTAAAATTAATTTCGATTATAAGATAAATTTAAAATATGACTCAAGCAATGCCATCACTTCGTATCATTGCTCAACCAAAAGCATCGTATCGAGAACGATATATATGTGAAACAGATCGCCGTCGTAATCGAGCTCAACGTTTTGTTCGTGCCGATAGTAATTCAAAGCAATTTGTTTATCCAACAATTGAAGTAAAACAATACTTTTTTTTCTGATTTCTAACTCTTTTTTAAATAGATTCCAAATGAATGGCTAATGAAACGTGAACAATCGCTATATATTCGTTTAACTCTTGTAACTGTTCCAAATGAACGTGCACCTATTAGATGTGTACATCCTTATCCAATTGATACAGAAGATATTCATGTTATTAAAGATCAATCGTCAAATTCTCTTTATTTTGCAATATCAAATGATGAATTACGTACTGGCCGAAAAACGTAAAGTTTTATTTAAAATGAAATTTTTTAAATTAGAATTTTCTTTTTGGCTATTTTATTTCAGTTTTCAATTTACTCAGAAAAAACTCACTAAATATCAATTAAAAAATCATGGACCCTTAAGAGTTTTCAATTCTGGTAAGTAGTTGAATATGATAAATGATTTTAAATTCGTTTTATTTTAATATTTTAAAGATGAAAAAGATGAACACCGTCTTGAAGATCCAACAGATGCTAGAAAATTAATTGAAACTTATGAATTAAGACATTCGCAATTAGTTTTTTCAATAGCTGTTTTTCAAAATAATACTCAACTGCCAGTTATATACGACATTTCCTCTGTATTTTCACATAAAATGACTGCGATTCAAGCAACAATGCACGATGATGATAGTAGTTTTCGATGTACACCGCAAAGCGGCGATTGGCAAGGTGGAGAAGAAATAATCATGGTTGTTCCAAAAATTGATAAAAGAAAATGTAATTTTATTCTTTTTTTCAACCATATCTCGACGTCATTCAATCAGAGATGTTAACCAGTTGATAAAGTTTGAAAGTCTGTATCTGTGCGATTTCATTACGATAAAAATACTAGGAAGATAAAAAAATAGACACTTTCTGAAGTTGTTAACTCATTATACGTATATATGTTAGAGACATTGTGTTTGAAACTAAACACTGTCCAGCTATAAGCTAATCTTCAGCAAACTATCTAGGGTCTTGCCTTAGATTGCCCATTAGCTAGCGTATGTTCGAGATTGTATCATTCGATTGTTGTTCCAGTTTAACTTCGTATGATATGGTCTAAAGACAAATGATGTGAGAATAGCTAGATACCAATTTACTCTTCGCTCTAGCATCATAATGTGGCGATATGCAAGAAGATGCATCACCATATTTAAACTTAGTAAACTTATAGGGAAATGATAGGCTTTATAAAAACTGCTTTTAGCAATATCCTAGATTGGTAATCATAGCCAAAAAAAAGAAGTCTTTTCTTGTGGTTTATTCTTCGCCAAGACATTAGAAAATAAGTTTCTGCAAAAATGAAGTCAAATAAAACTTAATTATAATTTTTTCTTTACCATCTATGCAGAGTCATCTAGAAACTTTATTTGACCTAAAGTTTTCAAAGATCTATTTTTTAATAGTCCAGATCAGACATTAAATATCAAGCTATATCAGATGGTAAATATCTTCAGCAGAAGGATAGTCAGAGAAAATCTTATTTAAACCTTTTATTATGATTATCTGAGATTAATTAATTATTTTATTTTATGTTTTAGCATTTTTTGTTCGTTTTGTACATCCTTTCATAGATCCAAAATCTACTATTAATTTTGAATTTCTGGATACAAAAACCATCTTATTCCATACACCACCATGTCCAATACCATTAACAAGAGATAACCCGTCAGTTTCAATTCCGATTGTTGTTACTCAAAATGACCTGGAAATTGCGCGAGTTAATTTTGTTTATCAATCATGTCGGTACTTTTTTATCTTTTTTTTTGTTTTATCTCTTTCAAGATTTTATCTTTTATAGCAAATAACTGTCTAGCTTGTGGATCAAACCTAATTTTTACAAATATCAATTCATCAAATAACAAGAAACGACCATTTATAGAATTTGATGAAGCCGATGCATTTAAATTTAGTGAACTAGCACGTGATCGAACAAGAAAAAAAGAATTCAATCATTCTGATATACGGAATATGGTGATCACAACACAGAAATCGATACCTGTCAAATTAGATAATCAATTTCCATTATACAATAAACCTATACGAGAAAGAGATTTTGATTCAGCATTTACATTTATTAAAAAAACAATGAACTGTTTTGAACAAAAATCTAATCAAAATGAGACATCAATTTTTAATACTACAGAATTAAATCAAAGCAGATCAATTGAAACAATTTTAAAAAAACAATCTAAACTTGCTAAACAAGTTGATAATAAAAGCAATACTTTATTACATGTATTGGCTAGTATATCCAAAGACAATGCTAAAGAGACAATTGAAAATATTGCAACAATATTAGATGCTGAAATGCAAAAATATTTTGATATCAACGTTAAATCAACGTCCACATAAACTTAAATACGTCAAAAAAAAAACCGTTGTCATATAATTACGATATATTCATCTTGTGGAATGTAGTCTAGGTGTTTGAATAATAATTTGTAGAAAGAAAAAATATATTCAAATCATATTTTATTTTCAAAATGGTGTTTCTTTTTTAACATATATCAAATAAAAAGAAATCTGATAAAGTAAATTATGATTATACATCTGTCCGTCATAAAAGAACTTTTCTTATAGAATATAATGAACGAGTTGTTCTCATGGACTTGAATACAAAGGTTAAATATAACTTAACAAACCTTTCTCATAATGTATCAGAAAGTTTCTTAAGCTTTTAGGTACTTTAGATATAAATAACGGAAAATATCAGTCAATATATTTGGTCTACGAGACCTAAATTATATATTCCATACAAATCATAACGATTGTATAACTTGAATCGGTTAAAAAAAAGTGAATAGAAACAAGATTCTTAAATAAATAGCTTTAATGATGCCAAAGAATATTATGAACAAAAAAAGCACAAATTGCATGACATAAATCTTATAAGAGACACCTATAGAAAATGTCAAATATTAGCACCAAGGAAGGATAATATCATAATGAATTCTGTAGGAAGATATAAAAAAAAACAATGAAAGTAATGACGCCTTAAAGTAACATTGATTAATCATGGACCCTAATTATTTTGAAATAACTTGTAAAAATCCTTTTTCAAAATTTTCACCTTTAATACAGCAGTTGTGTAACAAGATGAAGCACTCGACACATTTTATTTTGAGTCATAGCTTAGCAAACATGAATCCCCTGGAATTTTACAATACTTGTTGACGCTTTCTTTTTTCTTTTTTTCTTTTTTCTTAAGTCAGTATATGTTTGTCTGAAGCGTTTGACATGGTAACACATACGTCAAATAGCGTACTTAAAAGACATACTCCCTTGAAACATTAAAAAGATAAAAAAAAACATTAATCACTATAATTTATAATTAGCTAGTATTTACTATTTCAGTTTCAGAAAAATATAGCTGACAGCATATTGATATTCCATTGTTAAGATAACTAAACAATTAATACATTCATGAGATAGAATGCAGAATTCAGCACTAATGAAAACATTATAAAATTTCTGTCAAAACCATTTTTCTTTTTTTCTAGCTATTTTGCCGTTACAATAATAGTACCGTATAATGTTTTAATGAGACTAGAGGCCGATGTGAGCGAAATATTTAAAAATGCTGATTGAAATCAAAAGAACGAAAAAATTTTTTTTATTTGTTCTGTGTTTAATAATAAATATGTCGTATCACAGTTAAATCAGTCGACGAAGTTATAACTTCTTCAGACGAAATTGACACAGTTTTAACTTCGTCATATAATTTTGTCGAAGTTGTAACTGCGACATTCATGTTTGACGAGGTTACTTTAATTCAACCGAATAAAAAATAATTATTAATTATTTGATGATATGATAAAGCCCTAATGAAATCAGCATGATTATTTATTAGATTCAAATCAGGTAGATATATGCTAGGAAAAGTAGTGCTCAAAGAACACTTTGTAGATACGTATACTTCAAAGATTTCGAGAAGTTTTTTTTTCACCAATCGATAGACTATGAAATCAAGTATCTTGTGAAGAAAATCATTTGTTTTACATGAAAAATAAAAAAAAATATAGCAGTTTTACTAAAGCCCGCTAATCTTCTCCATCGGTGGGCCAGGGTAATTGTTTTTGGTGGGGCAAAAATTATTAAAATGTCTATATCAGCTCTAGGAAAAAAAATGAACAAATCGCATCTATGAGAATAAAAATTCTGGGTGGGGCAACTGCCCCACCTTGCCCCAATGGTGGCCCGCCGATGGATATTTTAGTTTGGTTGACAAACGTCTATGTATTTATTTACTTTCTTTTTATGTTCTAGTATATTATTTGTTTTCGTATAGAGATCTGTGGTCTGATGAATCTAAGAAAAAATCATTTTAATATACATATCAGTTTTAATAATCTAAATTTTTGACCAATTATGCGAGACTTGAAGCCGGTTAAAATTCGTGACTTAACTGGTCAAAAACCGATCAAAAATGGACAGGTTCAATTACAGAACTCAAACGGATGAAAACTGGTTTCTTTTGTATATCAATTAACAAAATACTTTCTTTGGAAAACAAGTTTATTAATACAGCTTCACAAAAAGATTGAGTGAAATTCATATAACTCTTGAAACTTCTAATACTTACATCATTTATTTAGTTCGTCACGTTCCATACACGCTAATACTAACAAGCGAAAGAGAACTATTTCTGAAATTTCCATGTAGCTATTATCTTACAACAAGTGATCCAGAACAATATCTGTATCTTATTTTGATCGATTTTTCTTAATAAATACGTGATGTCTTCAGTAGAAGTGATAAATTGGATGTGTTTTTTTTTTTATTTGAAAGTATGATTTAATGTATTTGAAATTAAACTGCAACTTTATTTTTAGTCTGCTTGAAAAAGTCAACAATAAGTGATACTCTCACTTGACGAACTTTTTCGATCGTCATAGCTACTATTGCCGATAGGAAAACTAAATGAGGCGTAGAGTTCCATTTTGAACTAGACTTCATATTATCGAAGCTTTTAAAAAGTTGTATGACACTAGCAGACAACAAAACTTTCACATAACAACGAAAGACTTTGTAGTATTTATGTAATTAGAACATAAATTGAGACATATTGGCTAATTAAAATTTCTGACAGTCAGTGACAAGCAGTCCAGAAGTGAGCTTGAAATTTTCAGATGAAAAGTTTTTAGTTTAGACCACCTTTAGTTTCTAAATCGGTAGACAAATTTTCTCGACGATCATCAATGCATTCATCATGCTTTAAGACCACTCATTACATAGTGCTAAGCGTCAAGTTAAAATTGAGGCCTGGAATTTAGATGCCGACTAAACATTTGTCGACTTGAAGTATTGAATTCATTTTTCTCGAAGATCGCAGATTTCGCTCTTGTACCGAAACCATTTTTTCTGTTTTTAACAAAATATAGTAAAATACTTTCCAGGTAGAAATCTAATTTTATTTAAAAAAAAATGATCAAGCATCTTAATTCTATAATTAATCTAATGATTTGCAAGGCAACAGGGAAAAAACTTGCAAACTTTAACAGTAAGAATTCAAATATAACTAAGTATTATTCGGATTCAATATAGCTCTCTGCTGACGACCACAAATTACATTATATCATCGTGGAATAATGAGTAATCATAATAGAAATCACTTATGAGATGTGAAGCACTTGAAAAAGTTGACCTCGATGGTACAAACGTAGCTGATGAACATAAAAAACACTTTGCAAAATATTTCTCTAAAATATTCTTATGTAGTTAGATATGTTTAATAATGCATTATCGTATTAAATAATAACTCATCAACAATTCAACTAGTATTATTTGAATTTGAGTGCATAGAATGTTTAACTGTTGTGTTGGTTAATGCTGAGTTAAGAAACAAAGTATTAGTTTATTTGTTGATTGATTATTGTAAGATGATGAAAATGCTGTTTATGTTGAATTAGTTTGACTATCACGATTATTGTTAACATCATTTAAATAATCATTAAGATCTTTCAAGAGTTGTTTTCTATATCGTTCAAGTGTTGTTCGTTGTTTTTTATTCAATATTGAAATTCCCAAAAGATCAAAATATGCTAAACACTAAAGTAACAACATTTTTGAGAAATCAACGAAATTAGCAGTACATACAATTATCAAATCAAGCTGTTTGATATTATCATTAATGTATGTGACCATTTGTCATGTTATTAGCAAATGTTTTTTGGTTCTTCCCCATGTGACGAAAACCAGGCAAAAACTGCCGGTTAACCGCGGGTTAACCGATTTTTTTTAATGGTGAACCGCGGTTTACCGCTAAAACTGATCCGGTTTTTGTGACGTGGGTTGAATGGTGAATAGAGCTGTTTTCGACGTTGGCTTACTTTTGACTGCTTATTAATTTAGTAGAATTAAAAAACGTTGTTACTGTATGTTCAATGGATACAATCATACGCCATACGTTGCTTGCTAATTCAAGATTTGTAAGTTTTTGTTTTTTGTTTCGTTCCCTAGTTAAGGATAAATTATGTTTATCTCAATGTAACAGAGTGATCAACGGCTTCAATTTTAACATGTTTTCAAGCATAAATTTTCTTCAATTACATTTAATTTTACAATCGGGTAAAAGATGATGTCACATTTTATGAACAACTTTCAATTTATCGATATGAGATGTTAAACTTGATGATTCATTAACGATTTGAATAACTGAACGACATTTGTTCAGAATGTTGCTAATAGCTTGTTATCCATCATTTGAAAAAACAAGATCTGTAATAATTATCAATAATTGGGTCAGTGAATAGAGATGCAATGAAATGCCTCATTATTAATCAAGTAAAAGTTTACTTTCTTTTTTGTTATCTCTTATCATCTATTCCTCTAATGAATTATTTTACTGTTGCCATATGTAATCCTTTTCAAAAGAATGTTTATTTGATATGATTTTAGAAAAAAGCCGAAAACAAAAGGTTTACCTTGTTGCAAAAGTAAGAAATGAATCATTCAAGAAGCAAACAAGCCAAGAGTGTCAGACGCACGAAGAATTATACTAACAACAACTTATCCTTTAGATTACGAAGAACATCATGGTTTTAATAACCTAATCGCAGTAAGTAAATTATTAGGACGATTCGAAAAGCAAAAGAAACTTCATTGAATGTTACATACTTGGTTTCAAAACGTTGCGAGTATTGAAAACGATTAATACGAATATGACATTGATAAGCATAATCGACTTAATTGAAGTCAATCAATTCATCAATGTCTGCCAGTTACAGATCGCAGTTCTCCACTATTTCGCATCTTTTTCATATTTTTTTCGCCTTATCATTCATCTTAATTCTATTATATTGTCTAAAAATACGAGTGTGGGCGTGAGATTGGACTGGAGGCTGATTTTCTCTTAAGCTATAGCTACACCTACATTGAACATGCTCAGAAAATTGGTGCAATAATACTGACAATTAAATGAGTAAGACTGAAAACAGTCGCGTAGATAGAAATGTTGAGCGGACTTATCGTGGAGAATACAAACATTGTTGCCTGCATAAATTCGTTTTACTTGTATCATGTTGAAAGGAATTTCTTTCCAAGGAGGTGATCCGCATCCCCTGACAACGTTCCTGGCTAGTACATTTCTTTTCTTTCGTGAATGCCCAAAACAAAATGCGCTCGATTCTCATATCAAAGAGACAAATTTTAGAAAAATTATGAATTTGTTGTTTCTATCTAGATTAACACAACTAGTCTACATTCTGTTGATTCTCTTATTAACGGCAATGACAATCATGTTGAAATATTCAGTCTTATCTTGCTTGATACAAACGTTCACGTTGAAGGGAATCAAAATGTACAACAACAACTGCATCCAATCATCAATCACATCCAGAAATTTCAAGATGAAGAAGAGTGTAAAAACGTATATGCAGCAATGACTAAGACATGATCATCTACTGCTTATTGTTAGTAGTCATCTGGGTCGACAAATAATACCCTTTACTCATAAATTTTGTCAACTCTCAGCGATCTACATAAGTTCCACAGATACAAAGAATGATAAACACTGGACACGCGGCTTCTTTATGATAGGAATGTTCCGAGAAACTTCCACCTTGTTGTACCACCCGTTTAGGTGAAGTTTATTATTACTCAACTGGAAAAACTGGTTTCTCAAATCAAAGCAGATCATAAGAATCAGATGAAGATGCAAGAACCATTATCGGTCAAAACGTTCATTATAAGTGGCAATGCAGGGAAGTCAACGACAGGAGTCAACGGTCAATTCGCTTTTGCTCAATTACCGATTCACTGTCTTCTTCGATTGAAATTCAATGAAATAGACAGAAAAGAACTCATTTCTTGTTGTAAAAATGAATACAAAGATAATCATGCTGAAATGGACAATCTGCGTAGATTTCAAAGATATTACAGATCTGATCAGGCTTTCTGATTGTATACTCATGAATCTTTCTTCTATAAGACTCTGAACACAGCTTTACGCAAGCAAAGCATTCATATGATTTTCTTGTATCGTTCATTCATTGTCAACATATATCATCAATTGCAGCATTATCGATCTCAGCACTCTATCCGCGTTTATCCAAGTCAGTTGATGTCAATTGATGAGCTAAATTATCTCAAGCAAAACACTGGTCAATTCGTTTCTGTAAATTTGTTTCTTTCTACCACTAACCAATGTCTAATAGCTGATTTCTATAGCGGTGATAAGACCCAACAGATCAATTTAGAACGAGTTATATTTGAGATTGATGCTGATCATAAGGTAGTCGCAACAAAACCATTTTCTGACATTAGTTCTCTTAGTCATTGTCATGAAGAATCGGAGATACTGTTTATGCATGGCTCCATTTTCCATCTCAACTCCATTAATCATGCAGACGATAAAGTGTGGACAATAAGAATGTCCTTATGTCGTTATGATGAATACAATTTGAAGGACGCTCTTGCAGATATGAAGAAATAAAACGGCACTGGAGAGGTAAGTCTGTGGATATTGGACAAACTTGATCAGACTGAACAGTACTACACTCGTTTGCAACAAGAAATTTCGTCAAATAATCCTTCACTTCGCAGCTTGTATATCGATCTCGCTGACATTGCTTCGCAGAAAGGTGACTTCGACAAGAGCGTTCAATGGTGCAAAAAATCACTTGAGGTCAGAGAGCAAAGTGCACAATTTGATAGTATCAACAAAGGTGAGACAATCACAATGATTTGTAGGTTTCATAACTGAGGACCAGTCATTATTCAGTGACTGATCAATATGAATAACAATATTTTCTCAAGGCTGTGGGTATTAGTCTTCTATTTGGAGATATCCACACATACCCGTCTCGCATACCTGTCATGACATTCAATAGTTATACAATTTTTAACTGAAGTATTTACGTTTGTCATCAGCTTTTCGGTTTTTGAAGAGATATCAGCTTGGTTTTGTGGTATCAAATAATAAAATATGGAACACAGCCAGTGTCTGTAAAAGAACTTTCTTTTGTGAATGTTGAATTTTGTGGTGAATTCTAGTATAGTTTTATGTTTTTTTTAAGGAAACTTCAATTACACATGTGAAATGAATGAAATTCGTTACTGGGTATGGATGTAGGTAGGTTTTGTGTGTGAGTATGTTCCTCTTTTGCACCCACATCGGTGAGAAGCCGTAAATTCTTTTCTATGAGGAATTTTATGGAAGTCACACATCTTTCGAAGAAAATAGTGAATCTAAGTCTTATGTCGAATTTTCGTGGCTCTGTCCTACCTTTTCCCTCCCCATCTGATTACAGACCATAGCAGTCGAAGTTGAAGGTCATTTAGCAGATTTTTGATATGGAATATGTGACTTCCACATGTCAGCCAGAAAGGGGCCGCGCTAACAAGCTTTAATAGAGGTAATTTGCGAATGTACTAACGACAGACAATGCAAAGATGTACAAATTGTGTTTGTAGGTGGAGAGAAGATGGAATTGTTATTAAAGCCACTTCTTGCTGTTGGAAACGTTAAGAATAATCAGTTGAAAGGACACTAATGAATTTTCTCACTACTATAAAATAAAAATGAATGTATATGAATCTTTCGTCTGCACTTCTAGCATCCCACAATATTAGAGTGTATTAGTTATATCTTAAAATTGCACACGTTGTCTGGAGAATGATACATTACTACAGAAAGGTTTTTTAGAAGTTGAAAAGTTCCTTAAACATGAGAGTTTTAAATTTTCTACGATTTCTAAAAAGAATCTACAATTTATGAATCCTGCTGGAACTACTATTTTTCAAGCAACCTTATATCATAAAGAGAATATTTTTGTTCATTACAAGCTCAATTAGTGACATCGGTAGTTCCTGGTGTATGCTTTTGACATTTAGATAAATCACAAGACTTTATTCAAATAGTCGGTAACGACCTTCAGTTGCATGAAGAGCTTGATGCTGAACACTTTGGCACAGTGTACAAAGCAACGTGGATAAGTAGACACTATACAGTTGCTGTCAAAAAATTGCATCTAACTCATTTAACTGGTAAAGCGGAGAAAGTTTTTCAAAGAGCTTTCATTAATGGACAGTATTCGTTGCCCAAACATCGTCAGTTTCTATGGCACATACACGGAAACAGGAAAGTATGTGTTTGTTATGGAATACATGTCATTGGGATCATTGTAGAAGATATTGCATGAAGATAATCTGATACGAATTTGGCCTGAAAGATTGTCTGTTGCTTTTCAAACAGCTAATGGAATCAATTATTTGCATCAATTACCAGAATCCGTCTTACATGGTGATATAAAATCATTAAATTTCTTGATAGAAATGGCCTATGAAGGTTATACTGTCAAAGTGTATTATTTTAGTTTGGTTCAAACACGAAGTGAAACGACACGTAAAACGGAACCCAATTCAATACTGGCCTCTACACTACCATGGACTGTTCCTGGAATATTGCGCTTGGGATATCACACGGATAAGAGTGATATCTATAGTTTAGGCGTCATTTTTTGGGAACTAGCTACATATGAAATACCTTGTGATGGTCTCCAAAATTCAGTTATTTGTGAGTTTGTGCTTCGTGATGAGCGCTTGAAGATATCAAAGACAATACCGTCGAGTTTTCGCATACTTATCAAGCAATGCTGGGCACAACAGTCAAATGATCTCGCTAATAGCTCTCATATGATCGAAAT